CATCACTATCAAAAGCACTACTACATAATTTGTCATATTTAACACTTAATACTGAAAAAATGCAAAGTGAATGAATGCAGAAACCTCCCAAGCCAGATCTGTAACCCTATTACTTGATGAGTTTTGTTGTAAAGCCTTCAAATATGTTACCCCATGTTTGACAATTAAAAAACCATCAGTGCAGACTCAAAAAAAAAAAAACAGACCTTTTAACCCTCAAATATGGACTGCTATGTAATAGTGAAGGTACTGAATTTATTGACGCACAGAGACAGAAAAAATATACCATGTAAATAGCAAGGGTTCATCCAAATCATTGAAAACATTGATGTGGACCATATCATTTGTGCTAGCATTGATAAGAGGACCAGGGAACATGCCATTGATAGTTATAACCTGCAAAAACACAGAACCATTATTATCATTCACATATATATGAACCATCACAAGAAATTAATCGACAATATATAGAATCAGAGGCTAAAATCAGTTAATCATTACAGGTTGATCTGCAGAGACCGGCTTGATGCCTGAATCAGAGGTAACGTGCCATTCAAGGAATAACTCTGCACTGTTAACTACTGTCACAAATACTGTAATTAGCATCATAATACTACACCTAACAGGCTCCATGGGAGCCATTGATCAGCTTTTGAGATTTAGCTATGTTGATTAAGTACAGTGTGGAAGGCTATATATATGGATAGATAGATATAGCGATATAGGTTTGGGAGATCAAGAGAGAGGAAGAAAGTGGGGTAGTCTGGGATTCAAGTAGTACAAAAGCCGGCGGAGCCTAGGACTTGAAATTTGTTTCCTTGTAATTTTCCCGTGAGATGTTTTCTGATTTGTTTTGGTTGATGTTGATACAGCTTGTTTGATATTTGAAATGCTTCTTTTATGGACGAAATAACAAGTCTAATTTTCTCTCTCAAAGAAGTGATTCCCATAAGATTTTAGCATTTTAGTATCTTTACTTAAAAATGTGTTTAACGGATGGTTATTCCCCTTATTTGAATTTACTTCTCTTTAGTTAGTTATTCATGCATTTTTATAATAAAATAAAAAAAATTAAATTGAATTTAAACCCTAACTATTTAAACACTAATAATTTTTATGTAATATAATCAAATCCATGGATTCACTCAATCATAAAATGGATTTGATTGACTCTCAAATGGCCTATTTAAAAATTCATCACACTTGTTAATTACATATTCTTGGATTATATTTGCTAAAAATCATTTAAACCCATATCTATGAATGTTGTTAGTAACCTATATCCATATCCTTCTCCAGTCCTAAATATAAGACTCCTTTTGTAGTGTAATTTACACTGCAAAAAGGGTCTTATTATTGTAATATAATTTATTTATTTTTATGGTATAAAATTAATATATATACATATATAATATGTAATATAATTGGTATTTATCCGATCATGATTTTTTTTTACCAGCTTTTTTTTTTTTTTGACCAGCTATCCGATCATGATTTAGTTACATATGTCAATATTCGAAATAATATAGTGATTGCATGACTTGTACTTGTTAGGTGTGCTATTCATGCCTTCATCTCAAGTATATCTATAATACCTATTGAGCAATTAATATATCAATATATATATATATAAATTAGTGTGTCAATTAATATTCAATGTATAGGATTAAATTGATAGTAAAATACTATTTATTCATAAATATTGAACAATGCAATTTATTTCTCAAACTCTAAAATAGTCAGTCTATCGATGTACTTTGGTCAAAATAATTAATCTAGTTTCAACTATTTCTGGATTAAACTGCGGATCTTAAAATTTATTTATTTCCCAAAATGAAAATAACACTAGTAATCAACTTTTTGGTACTACCAGAATATAAACAACTACCTTCCTTTACTACTATATTTTCTATTCATTAAAAAATTGGCAAATAATTGTCATAACATCCCAGCGTGCAAGTAATGATGGGTTGTAATTTTTTTTATTGATTAATCATTTCTTTAATAAAATGGTTTGACATCGACGTTGACAGACCAGAAAATGCTTGCATCATACACCCATACACGTTTACAGATTATGCATGAATTAATTTAATTTTTAGGGGAAAAAAAGTTAATTTACAGTATAATGATTGTTACTCATTCCTCAAGTTCATCTTTATCAGCGTCCCAAAGTTTGTTATTGACAAATAAAAGAACATATTCATAGCAAGCTAAACTAAAATTGAGAATAATTTTTTGAATTAAAGGGATAGGCACTAATTACTTAAAGTTACAAGTAAAATTGAATTTGCAATCTTCCACAAAAAGAAAGTATCAATGCCATTAAGCTACAAGACTTTTAACGAGAATGATTTAATTTATTCAATGCCCTTGGTATTTAACATTACACAAGTCTGAGCCCAAGAAAAAAAAAAAAAAAAAAGGAAACACAGAGATCTTTAGCACCACATTTTCTTCCTATTTTTCCCTTCATCCAAACCAAGCTTAAAGGTTGGACTTTATGAGTTTCATCAGGAGGGGAAAAAAAAAAAAGGATAGAAGATCCTTGGTTTTTATCATACAAATAAAATCGTTTCAATCTGCATATACTAGTATATTACTATGTTCAAACCTTGAGCGACGAAGAAGGATTCAGAAGCTTTTGACAAAGGATGTCCATAAGGTCCTTTTCCTTTAATCAAAATAATACCACCATCGGTTCTTAATATAAGACCTAGTTGACTAATTTGGAGAGATTAAGAAAATTAGTTAAGTTAGTTATTTATAATAAATTAGTGTTATCTTTCCTAGAATACTCTTATTAACATGTAACTACTAAAAGGATTATTTTGAGAAAAAATGGATGACAAAGTAGATTGCGGTATTATATTTGTAACTAAATTAAAAGTCAAATTAGCTTTTATATTAAAAACAAGATGAACTATCAAGAGTTGCATAAACCCCATTTGTTTGGTCCATGACATAGACCTAATAATCTCGTGAAATCATATATAGTTTTGTCAAGAGGACTCAATTTTAGACTAATCATTAATGCCGGTTACCTTGTCAAAAAAACCAGTCAGCACTAAGAAGATCAAGTGATGACATCTGAGATTGTTGATACAAATGGGTCTGGATCCTTCTGCAGCCTTTTGAAAGAAAAAGAAGCTGACCATCTGATCCTTGGTCTCAGACAAACAAGTCTACCTAGTACCGGCAAAGATGTGGCAGTTTGTCCCAGAAACTCCATCTTGCCATGAATTGAGCTTTTGTTGTCTGCCTTGCCTGCATCATTACCACAAGTATTTCATATTTTTTGTTAATTCTATCAAATCATCATGTGTACTTGGTGATCTAAATTGTTGAAGACATTGACATGGACAAAATCGATGGTTGTGATATTTAATAAGAAGGCCCAGTGCGCAAGACTCCTGCCAGGTGAGATCTAAGGAGAAACAGATGTACGCAGGCTTACACTCGCAAGCGAAGAGGTTGTTTCTAGAATTTAAACCGTGACCTCCAAATCACTACTCCAAGTTAACTCTCTTGTGACATTAATAAGAGGAGTGGGGAAAATTTCATTGATGGCAATGACATGGGCAACAAAACAATGATCCCTCAATAGATTGATTAGCAAGCAGAATTGCAACCAAAGGATGAAAAGAAACCCTACAACCATTAACGTAGAGGTTATTACAAGCTGCATCACAGTCAAAGGTCTGATCTTTCTGTCAAGGGTCACATGCCATTCTAAAAAACATCAGTGGCGGCTGACACAGCAACAGAGTACTTCGACTAATTTTCCATAGGTGAAGAGGCCACTGCAATAGACATTAAATGGGCAAAACAGGCACTGTTTTTATAGCAGGCAATGTTCTAAGTTGGTTAAATTTCCTAAAAAAGTAAGCAAAATAAAAATAAGAAAAGCCATAGGTCAAACTTTATATCATGTGATGAATGATACAGACCTTCCCCCCCCCCCTTCTTGGACTGAAGAATGGTACAGACTTTGATTCAGAAGTTTATACCATTAACATGAATAATCTTATTATGAAGTTTTAAGAAGGTGAAATTAAAATCAAACTTGTATTTTAATTAAACTTAGTATGTTGATAAGTCGTCTAGGTGGCAAACAAAAGTGCCTTTTGTTGTTGCATTGTGATTGTGATGTGCAGTGCTGTTATCACACGAGAAAAGACAACCTTAATGGATTCATCAACAACAACGATGTCAAAACCGAAGTTTGAAGTAATAAGATGGCTGAAAATATTACAGACTACTCTTCCTCTGCTCAAAACAAAGAAAACAAAAATACAAGATGAAACTAAAGTAAAAGGTGTCCTTGGGATTTTTAACATCGTTTACCCGGTAATTGAGTTTGTTTTCGAATGACGTGACAATATACAATTTGATCAGTTATCGCCGAAAGAATTAATCAGTAAGTATGGTGAAGACTAAATTAATTGATTCTTTTGTATTTATATATCAAACAAATGAAAAATATATATGATGGTACACAAATTCACATCCCACCTTTCTATCCATTATCTTGTTCTTTATTTATATCCATCTAAACATACTATTGATACACATGGTATGTGAAAAAGTTCTTTGGAAAAAAGAAAGAAAGAAAGTTTTCTCATTCTCATTCCCCATTATATACCAAACTGTCAATTCACCTCTGAAAATATAAAGAATATGGCTTAAGCCAAAAACATGATCATAAAACAACACAAGTTCTCAATGCAAATTTACCATTTGAAAGACATATATAAGTAGAGCTCTTCCAAAGAAACCTAAAATAAACCACTATGATAGGACTAAAGTAGTGCTCTTCAACTTATCTTTTACCATGCTTCTAATTAGCTTTAACTAATGATCAAATCATTAAAACATTCAAAAACAAAGCCATATAATTCTTCTGAATTCCCCACCACAGTACAATAGATAAAAGGAACGCATAAATGTCTGCTGCTATTGACTTGACCAACAGAAAATGAATTGATAGTGTAATAAGCTTAAGTATCAATTTATAGTGCCCATACGAATTGAGGTTCAAAAAATACAAACATATAAATACAAATTCATCACTCACCCAAAATAGAAACCAAAAAATAAAAGTAAAAACGTATATTTCTCTGACTTATCCTGACAAGACAGATCCAATACTTACTTTCACACATTTAAAATGGATATAAGACATATTTACATATCATGTACTTGACATTTTCCCAAAGCTAAAGCACATGTTATGATCATCTAAACAACCAGACTGGCTGAGAATAAAAGAGTAGATAACCCATCTGGACCAGCTGCTTGAGTAATTTATGACACCAGGCTTGAATAAATATCAAAAGGATAATAATCTTGTGGACTATTCGGTCGTGTAATAAAATTCTTCCTGTTGCTAGTAACAAAATCTGCTGAGATATAGTATCTCTAGTGTGGAATCTAATGTATCTTCTTGTTGCAGCATATTTACTCTAAACAACAGCCTCCACCTCGATGCATCATCTCATATGCGTGCTTTTGCTTCTGTTTCTTCACTAGTACAGACCCTTTTTCACGTAAACTCGGTACCTCTAACATCTGTAAATCAATAGTTGATCAAAGAGCAGAAGCAATTAATAAGTTGCAACCCGTGCAGTTTAATGCCACACCAACTAGCTCTCATCGCATCAACATTAGGTCCCCAAAAGAAAGCAGCTCAATTATCATTAATCACACATCCTATGCTTAAGCAAGGACAACAGGGAAAAAATTGAACTGAGATTTTAATAGCTACTCAAGCTCAATTCAGTTCCGGTCATAACTATTTGTTATACATTAGTAATTCCAGCATCCCTAGTCTATTTGACAAAGAGACTGTAAGGCAACAAGTTGATTGTTTTCATTGAGTAACTTACTAGGTTTTGGAGGTTAAAATTATATAGACCTAATAATCTCAAGGCTTAGTTCTTAGTTAAGTCTAAAAACAAAGAATTATGCACTTTGTTTAAACATCCAGCTCAAACATCAAAGCAATTAAATCGACTGAGAGATGCAAGTAATGTGTTTAATATCCACTATGATCCAATTTGAACAAATCCAAGACTCAACACTACAATTACAAAGTAGCTTGAGAATTCAGTCATTCACCATTGCAGTTCATACCACTTACAATAGAAAAAGGGAAAGTAAAAACATTTCTTCCATCCACAAGCAACACAAATTAAAAATCACCAAGGTAAGGCAGAGGACCCAGGAAATAATAGGAAAAAGAAAGTTATAACAAAATCATATACCTTCAAGGAGAGATCATCAAAGCATTGCTGAACATTTTCTCTAGTTTTAGCACTACACTCTACGAACAAGCATCTATGTTTCTGTGCAAGAGCCATACCCTCTTCCTTGGTTACAACTCTTTCGCTATCCTGGAGGTCAAAAATGACTATGGTCAAAATTAACGAGAACAAAAAATTGCAATTTATGGATATCATGGCAAATTAAAATTCTAGGTCAGAGAGAAATTATTGGTTTACATCATTTAATATAAAATTTACCTTATCCACCTTATTCCCAACTAGAACTTTGATGCACTCAGAATTAGTGCTGTAGAGTTCAACTTCTTTCGCCCATAAGTCCTCCAAGTTTTTAAATGTTTCGCGCCGTGTCACATCATAGACTGGATTTGAAATTTGAAGAGGATAGCTGTTAGATTTCAAGATAATAATCAGGGAATAATGAAAAGCAAAATAAGTGGGGGGGGGGGGAAAAAAACTATCTCGAAGTATACCCCTTCCTGTAAAAATTCCAAATACATTACTGCAAGTGCTCCAAGTAGACCGGTGCCATAATAAGTAATTTTAAATATTGACATTTTGAACACAACACAAACATTTAAAGAACTCTTATCCTCTTTTGCAATGGCACTATTCACCCTAAAGTCTAAGCGTCTGTTTCAGATTGACCGCAGAAATTCCTATATTCGGAAGTAAATCAGAACGTGAAAAGGATTTTAATGGGGAAAGAATATGAAAAAGTCAAGACCCTAACCCTTTTCTGCATTGTAGTGATAATGTGAGGAGAAGAAAAACTATTTAAAAATAAACGATCTGTAGTTAATTCACCTCTAGGAAAATGTGGTTTCTAAGCTGGTAATGCAAGTAGTAATGTAGTGGCATAGCATAAAGATGATAAAAATAAGACCAAATTTGTGTTTAATCAGAAGAGCATATACATGCATATTTCCAGGGTCTCAGTTTATGGTATGCTAAGGAAAACTATAATGGATGAAAATTTCAAACAATACAAAATGCTAAGAAAGAAGCTTGCCACAAACTTTCATCTTTATACAGTGCCCCCTGCATTCGATAGCATTTGTCTAACATTATATCCAACCATTTAATGAGTTGTTGATGTATTCACATTTATAAATAGTACAACATAAATATCAATTTTAATTTAAATGATGAAATATCAAGTTGAAAACATAGACCACCATCATCTTTCATTCAAAGTTTCAAACATGTGTAACAGATTGTACTCATTGCAATTCATCTTCATATGATATATATATATATATATATATATATATATAAAATTAATTAAACGCGTACTAAAAAGCATCTAAATTCAGTTTTTCAATATCTTTAGCATACCAAGAATGACTCCATGCGCACCTCTGTAGTAAGAGCTTATCACTGTTCCAAACCTCTCCTGGCCCGCTGCAACACATTCAAATTATATTAACAAATGGCACCAAATAACTGGTGACAGGTTTCATGTGATAAGAAATTCGATTGGGAATAAATAAATAGTAGTCAACCATATAAGCCCAGAGATATCGCAGGAATGAGACAAAGAAGTTCATCAGGTCAATTCAATACAGAATCTAGCCCACAACCTCCTTCACTGGTGGAGACTAAAGATTAGGCCAAAGAATTATGGAAGGAGAACAAGTTCTTAGTGCTAAGGTGACAGCAAGTGTTTATACACATTGTTTTCAGTTAGATTTGCTATGATAGAGTAAAAAATTAATTACCAAATTGATTTTGTAAAATTATCTTATAAATATGAACACCCAACCTTGTCTATTTTGTCTTATAAAAAGGAGCAGAAGGGGCATATTTTTTTTACGAGGGAATTATCATGTCTTTCTCTAAGTAAGCCAGGAGATCATTTTCAGCATTCAGTTATTGGCAAATTAATAAAAATCACAAAGCTACAAGAATGGCTCATTGATAATATTGTCATATATATGTAGAAAATCAGTTACCTGTGTCCCAAATAGTAAGTTTCAATCTTTTGCCACTAATTGTAAGGAGCTTGATCTTGAAGTCCACGCCTGCAAATAATTTAAGAATATTGGCATCTTTGGATGTAAACAAAAATATGAATTAATCAAATAAAAAGCAAGATTTCAAGGTCCTCATCAGCAACAAAATTATGATACACTATTCGTCTCAAGTGAGACACTCAAAAAATAAATAAATAAATAAATAAAAAGGTGCGGAGCAGGGAAATGAGAAACTTTGTGTGATCATGCTGCAATTTGGTTAATATGGATCAGAACTTTTGTACATGGCTTCTATAATTTGCAATAAATGTTGAAGCATTCATCTTTAAAATCGCCAAGTGTTTTACATTATATCCGCACAGTGCAGTTCAAATGATGCATAAGAAGCTTAAATTAGCTCCCTAGACTTGAACCAAGCTTGTAACAAACACATACAAAATAACAATTCAGAATAATCGAAACCGTAGAGTGGGAGTAAAGACTGTAAAGTGGAGGCTGACTTGGTGAACAATTCTATAAGAATCCATGTCTAAACAAACTTCATCGCACAACAAGTGAGGAATTTTCAATAGAGGAACCTCTGAATTCTGGAAGAAACAATGCAAACTTTGAGCCTTTTTTAGATTTCCAATTTCGATATTGAAAACTCCATAACCCAGAGTTTGATATTCAATCCAAAAATTGATGGACAATCGTATCCTATATGACGTAACTAATACAAGAACCATCATGTTCTATTCACACACGTCATATGAAGAAGATATCATATTAACATCCTGCAAGTTTCCAATTCCAGAAACAGATTCTTCCCCAATAAACATTTGCAAATAACTGTTGCTCAAATCAGAAGACCATGATAAGGTAAAACTGATGAAACTAAAGAGTGAGAGAATCATTAATCAATTTAAGTACCAATTGTGGGTGAGAGGTCCTGAACAGACTTAGAGATGAAGCTGAGAAGAAGACTGCTCTTGCCAACCCCAGAATCGCCAATCAACAACACTTTAAAGGAGTAATCAAGACTGCTATTTCCCACTTTCGAGCCAGAACCCATCTTTGTGAAAGAGCTTTTAGAAAGTGTTGCAGTAATCATTCCACCATGATTAGTATGCTCAGCAAGAAGAAAAGGGCAGAGAGGAGAAGAGAGAATAGAGGGAGGAAGGAGGAAAATGGAAGAGAATGACACAAGAAGAAGGTGACGAGGTGTAGGTGTGTTTCGTTGAAGGAAAATTACAAGAGGGAGGACAAATGTCCTCTTTCCTTGGAAGGCTTGAAGCGGTGAGGCGCTCTTGTGGTTGACCTTCACGCGCCTTCACTTTCACACTGTTGTGCCGGATCTTCCTTATTAATTATTTTGTCTCTTTCTTAATCAATCAATTCATCCTTTCAATATTTAATTTAAATATTAAATAAAGTTTACAAATGCCACTTTGTCCATAAAAATCTTTTTTTAAAATGATTAATACATTTATGATCATGAAAGATAAAATTTATGACAATATAATTCTTTCACAGAGTACAACAAAATAAAAATAATGAATGATCCAAGCCATTGCTTTATACTCCTCTTCTACTATTTATAAGACAGAAAAAGAAGATTTTTTTAATTTTATCTATAAGGTATTGAGAAAAAAAAATTTATATGGATGTACAATTTTACTCATCATTTATTATTGTATTGATTTTGTTTACATGAAGTACAATGTATATTAAATAGAAATAAAATTAAAAAGTTGTTGAATTTTAAATAAATTAATAAAATTTAAGATTTTTTTAATTTGTGTGAAATATATTAAAAATAACTTATAAATATGACCCAAAGAATATAATATATTGTACATATCTGGCAATATATATATATATATATATGTATTTATATATATAAAGGTACCAGAGGACTCGATGCATCAGATTGGGGAAAATCAATGTTAAACAGGGACTATTTTATTTAACATAGAAGCAATGAACCTAATTATTATATACGTGATAATATCAGACAAATTATTGCTTCTTTGTTTTGCTTTTGGTTTATAAACAATAATAATGTTTATATTCCGTTACACGCTAAGTTCGCCTGCAGATAAAATATTTAATTTATAACAAGTTATGTAATTCATCAATTATTTAAACGTTCTGCTCTTGCGCAAAAAAATATTGAATTTTGAAATTAAAGTATAAAAATTTTGGAAAACATATTAATTAATTATTTAAATTTAAATATAAATGTTTGTTTTTATCAAAAAAGACAAATAAACAAATAGCCACCTTAATCTATCTTTATAGGAAATTGCGTGGGACTCGTATGTTATATATAATTTGAGATGAAAACATTGGGTATGGTTTATAAATAATACAATTTGTGTATATATTACTTGTTCATATTGAATTATACATTAGAACACATTTGTAGTTTTGTGGTTCACACATGGTTGTTTTGTTCTTCAAATATATGCATTAAAAAAAGAATTTTAATATTGCATGGCGTGACTTCTTGTCTAATTTGCCTAATCAACACTCCTTCAGTCTTTAATATAAGACCTAATTAATGAGTTGGTTTTGATCCTAAATATACGAATCATTTTTTATATTTATCAGTTTTCTCTAAATTACCCTATAGATACTCTATCAACCATAATCAAGTAGAAGAGAGATAGGGTATTAAGAAAGATGATTATAGTGTTTTAGGAATCACATTTCTTATGATCAACTAACTTATCTAACTTCCTTACTCTAATCAAATTAGTTAAATGAGTTTTATATTAATGATTAGAAGAGTATTATCGAAATATCAACAATTAAAAAGATAAGCATGGCATTTATTCATTCTTTTACATATAGCTAGACGGGGTTCCAAAAACAAAAGATATTTCACCATGCCGAAAGAGACCCAACTCCATGTACATCAAGCTGCAATAAATAAATACTCCTTTGATCCTTAATATATATATATATATATGATCTAATTATTGAGTTAGTTTTGGTCCTAAATATAAGACTCATATCTCATAATTATCAATTTTTCCTAAATTATTTTTGTAGATACTCACTCAACTATAATCAAGTAAAAAAGAGATGGAGTATTTTAAGGAAGATGATTATGATATTTTAAGAAAAATATGTCATATTTCTTATAGTTAATTAACTTATCTGACTTTCTTAATTTAATCAAATAAGTGAAATATGTATTATATTAAGAACCGGAAGAGTATGATCTATCTATAACTTATGTATATATAGGCCAAAAAAAAAGTTATATATATAATTATATAGAGAATGTGGTAATATGTTAATAGTGTTCACATTAATACTAATGATGAATGAGAAATTAAATAAGATGAGATTAAGGGAGTAGTTGAAATTTGAAATGGGAGGAGCGCGTGCAGTGCTGGCAGAAAACATAAAGAGAGAATTCAAAACTGGCGGATTGAGGGAGGGCCCTTAAAGTAGTTTGACCACTGCTAATTCAGTTGAAGCCCATCGCACTGATATACACACGCATATATGTTCTTGCTGAAAAAATATACATACTACCTTTTTAATATAAGAATTAATTAATTAATTTAAATATATTAAAAAAATTAGTTAAATTAATTATTCGTAATTAAAAGGCATTGTCTTTCCTAAAATATTATTGTTAATCATATGTATTAGCTAGAACTACTATTTGATGAGGCATTTAACATGTGTAACTACTAAAAGAATTATCTTAAAAAAATAAATAAAATGAGAGAAGTGAATCTAGGTCTTATATCTAGAATTAAATTAAATGTTAAACTAGCTCTTATATTAAAAATCGGGAGTAGTACAATATCAAGAAAATTGTCTTATGTCTAATACTCTTTTAATTCTTAATGTAACAGCTACGCAACTATTTTGAATAGATTAAAAAAATTAAATAAATTATTTAACTATGACAAATGTAATATGATCTTCTTAAATTAATTAACTATTCAATTTTAAGACAAAGTTTGATAAATTTTAAAATTGTTATTGGTTTTTACGTAAATTAATTTTAAAAAATTATAAATATTACTGGTATTTTTTTTTTAACAAAGTGAATTGATTCTTTAACTAGCCAATTCCTGCTACTTCTTCTTCCCTTTTTGCCGTGGGCTGTGGTTCTTATTGGAGGGGGAGCGTGTGTGTAACGCGGCCCAGTGGCGCGATGGGGAAATGAAATGAAGAGCAAGACCGTGAGTAGCTGCTTACGTTACAGAGACAGATACAGAGACGTAGGTATTGTGAATTTAAAACAGACACGCCTCGACAGGTGTTCGCCATGCACGCTTCACGCAATTCCCCAACACTGTCCTCATCCTTCACCATCCACTCACTCACTCTCACCCTTACTTCTTCCAATTTTATTTCTTATTTCTTTTGGCTCATAAATATATGCAGCCATATTCGTTGCCCTCATCCCATGCACGGGGTTAGACGTGTACAGTAGACCGGCCGGACTAGATCAAAAATCAACAAGAAATTTAGTATTCCTTCCTATTTTAATAATAAGATTTCATTTGTAATCTGTAAATGAGTTTTTATAATAAGAACAGAAACTCGTATGATTTTTTATTGGATTAGGCATAGTAGTTTATGGTATAGTCAAGTGAAACTTGAGATCGGGTTCGATTAGACTTAATCTATTAGATTGTTAATGACCTTAATTTTCTTTTTATTAAATTTACAGTAAAAATCATATAATCATATAAAAATCATCCCAGAATATTAAAACTCGATCACAAATCCATAATAACTTCCAACAATATTAAACAACGATAAAAAATTCTACATTATAGAATATATTTTTTTAAAAAAATAAAGACCGGACCGGTCCGAGTGGTCTAACCACTTACTTTAGAACCTGGTCCAGTTTGGTCTGATTTTATCACATTGTTCATTTGGACTAGACCAAACTAGACTAGATTACCGGGTTTTTGAACACTTCTACAAGAGATTATAATGTACTAATTACATATTTAATAATTGACATAGTATGTTAAATTTTTCTTATATCATAAGCATATTTAAACATAATTCATTTAAATTATTTAATTAATATTAATTTTTGTTTGAAAAATTCAATGAATGTATAATATGCTGCTTTTTCTCATAAATTGAAAGCGATGCAGTTCATTCATTTAAATGTGCGGAGCCACTTAATTAAATTTATAAACACGCAAACTTTTCTTCTATAAAATGTGTAAATTTGTTTCAACTATGTCTGTTATTCGATTGTTTTAAAATTAAATTTAAGGATTTAGGCTCAATTAAAAGACAGGTTAACTGATTCTGATGCAAAAAAATATGGTTAACCAATCCATGAGAATTAAAAAAAATATTAAATTAATTATTTGTTATCGTTGTGCGATAAATTATAAATATGTGTCACTTTTCTTGAAACATTTCTATTTTAGCGAGAGTATTATATGCGAACAACAGAAAGAAACGATGAAATTAATAAATATATATCTATAATATGAAGGTATTTATATAATTTCATTCTCAAATTATCAGTTTTTAGGCTATTTTATTCTCTTGAAAGCTGTGAATATATATTAAATAGGAATAAAATAAAAAATTTATTAAATTTTAAAACAAAATTAATCAAATTTAAGGTATTTCTAATTTAAGCAAAACATATTAAAATTTTTTTATAAATAAGATCAGAGTATTTATTTTTGTGAAAGCAATTAAGCAAATGTGGAAAGAGCCGCAATGAGGAGGGGTTAAAATGAAAAACCCAGAAATAGTAAGACGCAATAAAGTGAATAGTGAAGGATCAGATTCCCCTAGATCGCGGGATCTCCAAGGATTTTTCTAATAATAAATAAAATAGACTGAAAACAGAGCAATACTGCTCCGTAACGGGGGCATTAAATCTGAAGAGAATCTAGATAATGCCACGTGGCAAACGAATGAATAACAGATCTTACACGTGCACCACGTGCCTTATCCTCCCTAGCAGACAAGCATGACTCTGCTCGCCCGCCCCAGGCTTCGTCGTTGACCGACAGTTTTCACTTTCCAGTTTCCATCACTTTCTAAATTAAGAAGGGTGTTTGTATTGAAACTAAATAATAATTTTAAAAATAATTTTATAATATATAAAGTAAGTGTATGAAAAAAATTTGTCTTGACCTATAAAAAAAAGCTTTAAGAATCCAGACACCTCCTAAAATTTGCATTCATATGAGTTTATGAAAACTATTTTTATATACTTATTTTAAATTTTATAAAATTATTTTTTAAAAATTAATCAAAAATCTTATAAATATAAGTATAAGTAACTTTAAATTGATGAAAATTTTAAATTTATTTTTATTAAAAAATTTTCTCTCTTTTCATTCATAAAAATTTTCACATTTCTCTTCTCTTTCTTTTTTCCCAATAAGAATTATATAATTGCATGTTTGGCATCATTTAGCACTTAAAAACATATTTGGAGATAAACTTCTCTCACATACTTATGTCGTACTTCTTTGGTCTTATTTATAAGTCACTCTCAGCATGTTTCATACAGACAAAAGAAAACTTTAAACCTTATTAACTCTCATTTAAAATTTAATTACTTTTCAACTTTATCCATATTTAATACATATTATTTCTTATTTAAACAAAGTTAACATAATAATAAACAAAGGGTAAAATTGTATATCTATACAAAAAATTTCTCTCAATACTCTATAAATAGAGCCAAAAAATATATTCTTTATCTGTTCTATAAATAGGACCAAAGGAGAATTTCATCTATTATGGTTAAAAAACTATTTAAATTAGAAAATTATCATTGAATACATTACAAAAGTAATTTATATTTTGAAGTGAAAACTTTTTGTACCAGTGACTTATATCACAAAAATATTAAAAATCCAAATTATTTACATGTAAAATTTGCGACTCGTTAGTATTTACGGGGCTTTGCGCATAATACGAAAACATCACTAATTATCAGTTTAAGCGGAATTCGAGGGTGTAAGTTTTTGGCGGCAAGGGCGAAAACATCAGTTACTATTGCGTTTTCACTTTTCAGGGAGACATCATTGCACTGACAAAAAAGGTCAGAATGGGACAATGGACGATGGTCCCAACTCCCAAGTCACATTAAGGGAATGGGAGGAGTACCAATGAAAGCTATGTTTTGAATAAAGTACCGTTAGCTCTAATCCTTTAACACGTTAATTTTCATTCTTAGTGTAAAAATTAGTTAATTAATTTAAATAGATTAAAAATTAGTTAAATTAATTATTTATAATAAATAAGTATTGTTCTTTTTAAAATATTATTACTAATTAAGTATATTAGTTAGAAGTAAGATTATGACAATGACTGTCTTAAAAAATAGATAAATATAGAAGATAAAGTGAATTAGTGTCTTATATTTAGAATCAAAATAAAAACTAAATAAGTATTTATATTGAGAATTAAAGGTAGTAAAATACTACATAAAAGTTACTTTTACATTCAATTTATCCTAAATATAATATCTCAATTTATTTTTTTCATATTTATCTGTTTTTTTAAGGTAAAGCTTGTACTAATTGCACATATTAAAAATTTCATGAAATGATAATTCTAGCTAACACACATGATTACTAAGAGTATTGTAGTAAAGACAACATATATTCATTATAAATAACTAACTTAACTAATTTTTTTGTCTATTTAAATTAGTCAATCAGTACTTATATTAAGAACTAGAATATGCAATATATAAATACATATATATGTATTATCTCTAGTCTTAAATATAAGAAGTAATTGAATAATTTGAGTAGATTAAAAAAATAAGTTAAGTTAGTTATTTATAATAAATAGATATGATCTTTTCTAAGATATCTTTACTACTCATGTTTATTGGCTAAAATTATCATTATTAGAAAGACTGTTTAAAAAAATAGATAAATAGAAAAAACAAAGTGAATTAAGCTTTTACATTTAAAACTAAAATAAAGTTTTATATTAAATATCAGAGATAATATATATACTTTTATTATTTTTGTGCAATCATGTGTTTACGCATATACAGTGGTGCAATTTAGTCTTATTTTAGTGTAATCTTACCTGTTACTAGACGTATATATAAACATATGATTGCATTAAAGTAAAAAGATCATCAGTAAAATTGTATTGAAAAAAAATACGGGTAAAATCGTATTACTAAAAAAATGAGGATGTTGGGTACACATGAAAAATAACGTCAAGGATAAAATTGCATGTTTGTCCTACATGTTTTAACAATTAATAATTCACGTGAAAATTGGGTGTTAATTTAAAACAACTAATACAAAAATTAATAAATAAATTTGTATGCACACTCGTGCGGGCCCATATATATATATATATATATGTATGTTACAAGTTTCATATATATTTTTGTATTTAAGAAAAATTTATAATGTTAGATGCACATAGAAAAATATTTTATAATTAAATTTGTAACTTAACTCTTTATATTTACCAAAAATTTTTCAAGAAAAACAAGCAAAATTTGTTGAGGTATTATTAAATTAAATTTTTTTTGCCCTAAGTCTCATCCTCTAAAATAGAAATAGAAGTAATAACTTTTCAAGGAAATAAAAAATATTTTAGGAATAAAAACCCACTATAAAACTAAGTTTCTAAAAATTAATTGAAAGAAGATGATCATAAAAAAATTACAAGGTAGAATCATGAATTGTGAAGCGACAGTAATAATAATTTCTTATGTTATATTGATATTGGCTTTTAAATTCACAAACCCTCCATGCCTGAATATAACTTTTTCCCAGTTAATTATAATAACCAATTTATTTTATTTTCAATAATCAGAGTGTTATCTGTCCAATCAAAGTTAAAAATTACGGAGATGCTCCATGAAAAATGCTAGCTAATAAAATTCATTCATTTATGCATACCATTGAGTAAAACTCTTGGGTATTGTGTGAGGTAAATATTAAGATTAAGGATTTTTCCCATCTCATACCATGTTACGTGTCTTGTGTAATTTCGGGATAGGAGAAATGACCATGAAGTTCGCTTTATCTGAGGTCTATATTTTTTATTTTTTATTTGGACAAAAATAGTTTCTTGTCACTTAAAAACTGTATTTATACAAAGATAGAAAATTTCAAAGATGATTTTAATTAGTCTGTTTGCATAATCTTGTAGAATTTCTTTTGGCGCAAAAAATTATACTCCCTTAAATATTTATATATAGGGAAGGTTCTTTGATATAAGGTTGATACCAAACACAAGTAACAATTTTTTGTTTTTTTTAAATTTTAAACTTTTCTTTCTATTTTTGCCTCCATTAAATATGTGTTTTTGTATTACTTATCACACATTCTCTCTCAGTTACTCTCTTCACAAATGATGATACATTTGGATAATAAATTATATTCCTAACATATTTATTATTATTTTAACTAATTTTAATTATTTTTTAACTAAAACTAACATTTTGATTTACATGACTTAGTTGGTTGTTGTTTGTATATAAGACCAAAATAAGTAATTATTTACTTTTCTCATTCTATTTATAAGATAAAAATAGAAGAATTTTTTTGGTCTTATTTATATGTTACATCACTATTTCTTTTTTATATATAAATGTACAACTTAAGTCCTTATAAATCTATTGTAACTCATTCTTACATATCAAGAAATGTATTGAATTGATAAATTTTTTAAAATTTTTTCCTTGCTGAATTTACATATTATTCTTACCCCTCTCTCTCATTTTTTCTCTCTTTCCAACAAAAATTAAAAAAAGGTGAAATTGGAAAATGATCCCCTACAAATAACTTATATTTATGAAATTTTTTCTCTTCAAATAACTTAGAATAAAAACTAGAGTGCTATAATTTTACTTTTTATTTCTTACTATGTTAACTTCATTCTTGTGTTATATAATGTACACCAAATAAAAATAAAGTTGAAATGTTATTAAATTTTAGGGCAAAATTAATAAAGTTCAAATTTTTTTTATAAAGTTATACTGCTTCGATCTTTAATATAAAATTTATTTAACTAGTTTAATTATATTAAGAAAGTTGAGTAACTTAGTTATTTATAATAAATATAACATGTTTTTTCTTGAGTATTCAAATCATTTTCTTTAATATCCTCTTTCCCTTTCCAACTTAATTATCGTTGATGGAATATTAATAGAAGTGATTTGAAAAAAGTTGATCAATATTGAAAATAAGTTTCATATTTAGAATCAAGATTAATTCCACAATTAGATTCTATATAAGCAGCGGATGAGTATGCAGGATGAGAGAGCCTATGCTAGTTATGTTAACCTAAATTGAAACTTCAAGAATAGACTTTAAAACATTCATGCACATTATTACTCCTTTTATAGGAAGAGGAAATAAAATAATTAAGATAAGGCTCAGATAAATTAGGATGAATCAGATGGCAAAGTAAAAAAAGTATGAATCAATACTAACGTTAATGTTAATATAAAATAGGATAAATCTATAACAAGCGATATTATTAACTTGTTTTATCAAATTTCCTATGTCTAAATGCAAAATTAGTGGCAAATCGTGCTATAAACAATGCATATAATTAACGAAAAAAACATGTCTAGTTTTAAAAAACAAAAACATGATATAATATGCCAGATTTGTTCTTCTCTTTAATGTTACCATTTGTGTTCAATGGATCCCTTTATTGCCTCATCTAAACAACAATCGAGATAGCTAGAGATGGCTTCTAGCGAGTCATCTCCAGAATGGTCCCAAGCCCATAAGATCGGTTTTTCACAATCAGGGGAAAGATCTCACTAATTTACTTTGGAAAAAAAATTCTATTTGTTGAGTATTTTCTTTTTAACTGTGAAGGAAAGTCCAATTATGTGGTTTCCGTGAATGGTTTTGTTGAGCCAGTGACTGCCATTTCTGTCGCATTTTCCAGTAACGCAATCCAACCAAAAGCGATTCCCTTTTTATTTTCTTTATCTCTCTCTTTTTTATTTTGGTATTTTAAAGGGAAAAATTAATCCCTGGAGGCCACGAAGTGAGAATTTCTTGTCATTGAAGGTACCCTCTTTTGTTGCTTGACCCTCAATCAAAGACCCATCTTTTCCGTTTTGCTTCGGCAACTCCACCACCAGAAGCCCTAATCTCCATACCCACCATCTTCTTCTTCTTGTTCAATCTTGCCCCGTTATGGGTCGCGAGACGTTGCCAGTTGCAGCTCCACCTGCCCCAGTAGCCACAACACCGAATCCAACATCACCAGTAGTAGCACCACAAGCTCCTCCTACATCACTGGCTCCTGGGTTTCGTTTTCACCCAACTGATGAGGAGCTCGTTATTTACTACCTTAAGCGCAAAGTTTGTGGAAAAACTTTCCGATTTGATGCAATCTCTGAGGTCGACATTTACAGAAGCGAGCCTTGGGACCTAGCAGGTCACTCTCCTTTTTGCGCCCCGAAATATTCTACCTTTGTATTTCATTTGTGTGGGTAAAAGACTGATGAGTTTTTCTTTTCTTTTTCCTCAAATTTTAAAGCCTTTTTTTGTTTCATCTCTCGCATTGGGGTTTGACGCTGTAATGCTGGATTTTCTCGAAATGGTTCTTCTTATTTATGTGGAAATTTCATGGGTCTGTGTTCCTTTTTTCTGATACATTTCCGGGTATTTGTTGTTCTGGTGATGGTGGGACGAATGGCTGTTCAGATAAGTCGAGGTTAAAGACGAGGGACCAAGAATGGTATTTTTTTAGTGCATTGGATAAGAAATACGGTAATGGAGGGAGAATGAACAGGGCTACGAGCAAAGGATACTGGAAAGCCACTGGGAATGACCGTCCAGTGAGGCATGACCAAAGGACCGTGGGGCTGAAGAAAACTTTGGTATTTCATAGTGGAAGGGCTCCGGATGGTAAGCGTACCAATTGGGTTATGCATGAGTACAGGCTTGTTGATGAAGAGCTGGAAAGAGCTGGAATTGGGTCGGCCCAGGTGAGATCATAGTTAAATTTACTTAATGTTGTTGTCTCTGGAATAAAAATGTAGAAAAATGAAGCTTGAGATGAGAGCTTAAACTGTTTAAATTATGTCTTCCTTTTCCCTAGTAGCTGGAAAGGGATCTCGTCATTTGAACCAGTCATTTAGTTTTCGTAAAATAAGGAGCTTAGTAGTTTGGGTTCCCAAACTGTGGAACTCTTGGATGCAGAAGTTTGAAGTTATTTCTTATTCAGTTATCTTCCGAGCAACAAACAGCACTGTGTTGTTTTGTTTCGGAAAATATGGTACATGGACGTTGTTATTATATCTCAATCATAGTTTCACCTTGTTTTTAACACTTTTCTCTGCTGGGTGGAAAAGGATGCATACGTTTTGTGTAGAGTATTTCACAAAAATAACATAGGACCTCCAAATGGTCAACGTTATGCACCTTTCATTGAGGAAGAATGGGATGATTCATCAGCACTGATTCCAGGGGCGGAGCCTGTAAATGAAGCTACAGCTCCCCGTCGCTCACTCATTGAAGGCAATGGTCATGTTGGCCGTTTTGAGCGAACTAATGCTGTCCAGGTTTGTTCTTTCCCGGAAAATCATTCAATCTAGTGTAGTTATATGACATGGGGCTACGTCTTGCCTCAGCTGCAGTAAGGCTTCAATTACATGATTGGCACTAAAAAAACTTTTAAAATGTAACAGTTTAAAGTTGTATTTTAAAATTCATATACTAATTTTGTAATTAGGTTCAAATTCCTGGTTTAAAACGCAGTTTTCTATAAACTTTGTGTGGAGCTGTAGATATTGGAGGGTAATATTTACATACTCTCAGAGTAGCTAATTTATTGATTGCTTGAATTAGTCAAATTACTTTTCTGTGATTCTTTCTAAGATTATTGATAACATGAAAAGTGTAAAAATCCCATTCTTCATGAATTAAACTGACAACTAGAGGAGGCAGAATATTTGTTGGGATGTTTCTTTCTCGTGCCACCTGCAGTTTTGCATTTGCAATATTTCCCCTTTTCAGGCTTTCTGGGTGTGTTTATTTTAGTAGCAATTAATGCCATGTTCTCTATATCTCCTTTCATGAGACCAAGAATATTGAGTTAAGGATGAATTTACGTGTCCTAATTAACCAAAATAAAGTAGTAGTTATTGGTTTATTGGCTTGTGTTGGAGCAATGCCAAATCAGCATTAGGATATTTCCGATTTGTTTATTCTGCTTTTCTTAAATGGTTGTCTTATCACTTTTGCTTTTACCATGTGATTCTTATCTTAAAAGGGCTTTTGTAACATGAAGGATTACATTTCTTGGCTGAAAATTTGGCCCTTCTGTCTTTCCTCACTGGATGGAAAAAGAAATGTTGTGCTGCCAGAAAGATGAATCCTCCGACTTTTAAGTCTTCAAACGTCATTCTATGAGCTTTAGACATCATTTAGGCCCTGACTTTGGGAAGTGAAACAAAATATCCATGTTGAATGAGGGTGATAGGACTTCCAGCTTGGGGCCCCATCTTTGCCATCAAGAAAATTTTCATTTAACAGTCTACTTTATGCAGCCACCGGCCCACTTTAGATATTATGTCGTAGTGATGCATTCTGCTTTTTTTGGGTTAATCAAATTTTGATATTATTAAGGAAGAGTTAGATTGATCATGGATACATGGGGGTGGGGTAATTGGAAAGGAAGGAAAGGGAATTTGAGTTTATACTCAAGTTCTCTTGTTTTATGCATCTATCTCCATACCTAGCAATCTCTTTTACCTGGGATTCACAATTTGTGTTGGGTGATTTTGAGACCATCTTTTGCCCAACTCTTTTTTTCACTTTGTCTCTGGGTTAATCAGTGACCATCGCTTTATGGACAATTGTTTATCGCTGTTTTACTAAATTCTTGATGTCATCATTGACGTAATCTTGTGGGGTTAAGATCCACTTTGTTTTGTTTCTGTGGAACTTATCTGTTATTTGGATCAATCTATGCTGATTCGATTGGGAGCTGCAGATTCATAAAATGTCAATTTTAGTTGTTCTTACTGTTTCTGATGGTTCATCAACATTAAAAATATATTGCCAGGGCGAGTTATTTGTGGTTGGGTAATCTAGTTGAAGATATCTTAAGAAAACTTTCTAACTCTTCCGTATAACTTGATTAGTTTATATGATTAATCTTGATTTATATGAGAGAAATAAACTTAGGTATAATTTCATAAGTTCTGTTACAAGGTTCTCTGATAAATACATTAATGTGGAGAACTTTTTTTTGAAACACCTGATAAGGTGGTGCTGAGCTTTGAAAAGATATACGTTCAATCGTTTGTATTCTTGTTGGAAAACTTTATAGCTAATATTTTTTAAGGAAAACCGTGCTTAACTTTTCTCCTAAATAATATCGGTATTTGATTTGCAATTGTAGGAGGTTTAACAGGAAAACTTTCACCCAAAATATCTCTCCGCGAGAATTAGTTTGTTTCATTTTGCTTCGGCAATGAAATATGTTACTAAAAGTTTAGAACCATCCATGATGGAGTTCCTTGTTGCATCGTATTCTGAATTGAATTAGTACAAGTTAATGAGATAACTTCAGGGATTATTGTGACATTGAACAATGGGAATCATCAGTAGAAGCAGTCATGTGGGTTTAATGGAATTCTATGACATCTCACCCATTCGCACCAAAAGGAAGAAAACCCCGAGGAGGGGGTTTGCTTGACATGAAATACCGAGGAGTAATCGATATGCTTTTGAATCATTGGTTTATAAAGGGTGGTTAATTTGAGTTGGAGGTGGATGCTTATAGCTATTTTTTAAAATGACAATTAATTGTTTTCTTAGTTGGGGTGTTTGACAGGAGTTTATATGCTGGCTATGCTACGGAGGAGAGTGAGAGTGAGGGGGTGTGAGAAAGGAACTTTAGTATGGGAAAGGATCACGTACATGTAGACTGAGGATTCATTGATAAGCTGTTGTTAGTTTGTTTTTGGCTCTCTAATTATTTTATAAGTTAGTACCTTTGGTAAATTGGCTTTAAATTTCAGACTAGCTTAAATGGACGAAGTTGGGTATTTATTAAGGCTAATTGGGTTTGACTTTCAAGGATTGCTATGTGCGTAGAGCCAATCTTTAATTCAGAATTTAAATTATCATCGATCTATTTCTTCTGTTGTGGGAAAAAGTGATTGAACATAGATTGAAGTTGGAGACTTTATTTTAGAGAACCAATTTGGATTTATGCCAAGGAGATCTACAACTGAAGCAATTTATTTACTAAAAGGGTTAATGGAAAGATATAGGAGTAGAGGAAGGAATTTACATATGATTTTTATTGATTTGAAAAAAGCTTATGATCGTGTACTAAAAGAAATACTTTAGAAGGCTTTGAAAAAGAAAGGTGTACGGGTTGCTTATATCAAAGTCATACAAGATATGTATCTCGGGTAACTCCTAGTGTAAAAACTCTTGGAGGTAAGATACAGGACTTTCCCATTAAGATTGGCCTACATCAAGGATCTTCTTTGAGTCCTTACTTGTTTAATATTGTTCTGGATGCTCTAACTGAGCTTATTCAAAAAAAAAAAAAAAACCCTTAAGTGCATGTTTTTTCGCGGATGACACAGTTTCATTGGCTGAATTAAAAGAAGAGATTAACTTTAGATTGGAGTTGTAGAGAAGGACTTTAGAGTTGAAAAGTTTTCGCTTGAGCAAGAACAAAATAATATATGCATTGCAATTTTGAGGGGAGACAAGGCAATGGTGATTTGGAGGTAAAGATAGGAGATCAAATTATTCCTCAAATATCAAAGTTTAAATTTCTAGGATCCATTGTATATGAGGATGGTGAAATTGATGAAGACGTTTCTCATAGAATCAAGTTGGTTGGTTAAAGCGGAGGGAGGCTACTGGAGTTATTTGTGATAAGAAGGTATCTGAGAAGTTTAAGGGAAAATTTTATTAGACTGTTATAAGACCAGCTTTGTTGTACGGTAGTGGTTGTTGGGCAATAAAGGAGGAATAAGAGCATAAAGTTGGGTAGCAGAAATGAGAATGTTGAGATGGATATGTGGTCATACAAGAAAAGATGAGATTCGAAACGAAAATATCAAAGCAAGAGTTAGTGTAGCGCCTATCGAAAAAAAAATGGTTGAACATCACTCGAGGTGGTTTAGGCATGTGCGGAGAAGGCTATTGGAGGCATTGGTGAGGAGAGTAGATCAGACAACATGAAGTCTCATAAAAAGGGGCAGAGGGAGGTCGAGAAGAAGGCTCAATCAGGTCATTGAATGAGACCTTCTGATCAACAACTTATTTAAGGACTTGATTGTTGATAGAGCACCATGGCGTCGTGTGATTTATGTAGTCGACCCTACCTAGTGGAATAAGGCTTGTTGTTATTATTGTATTGATCTATTTCTTCTAAAATCTCTTCTTTTCTCCTCCCCAAACTTTCTCCCAACCATCTACAAACTTTACCTTTTTCCTCCATTGTTACAGTTGGTATCCTTTCATGTAAGCTATCACATAATACCATTGTTTTAGTTGCATCTTGTCATTGAATTTTTTGTTACAAGCAACTTGGCAGTTGAAAATATGTTCTTCCACATGACTATTAACATCTGTGATACTAATCCTCAACTTGCAAATTGACTTGGCAAAATGCTTAGGTAACCCCACGGGCCTCAAAAAAATCGAAAAAGGAAAAAGGAAAATTGATGCGCTGCCCCACTTTTTAACCGTTCATTTGCCTTCAATTTAAAATAATCGAGAAGGGGCTAAACTGACAGTGTTATATGATGTGATATCCTCTCACGAGAGGATCCTTATGCACAGTACTATGGTTTTGTTAGATAATATTGGGCTGTTGAATAATATCTTCAATATTATTTATTTTACATGAGAGAAGGAATGGCATTCAATGAAAGATGAGGTAGAGATGCGAGTGATTTGTTGTGTAAAGTTGTTTGGTGTAAGGATGATAACGAAGCAAAGAAAGGAAATTCTTGTGGTTATCCAGTAACTTCAGATTATTAAAACATCTCCTTTTTCATTTTATTTTGAATTTGTTAGCTATCGCCTTATTGTATAGTGATCTATATTCTATACTACTTATTTGTGATTGTCGTCTGTAGTTGGCATCTCAATAAACATGTTACTGCACTTTTGTAGCATAAATGCATCATGGAATTATAGATTTCTCTATTTTGGTGTGGTTGCTGAGTTTACATTCATAGTTTCCCTAGTGACTGGAGTAGTTATCTTTTCTTTTGTTATCTGTTTGATGGGATATTTTTGCCACTTGATAAAAAGTATGTGATGCAATAAAAATGTTCTCAAGTGTAGAGGGAATCTTTGTTTGACCTTTTTTCTTCATCAAATGAATAATTTTGCTTCAACAAAATTTGATATTTTCATTGTGTGACCGAAGAAAATAAATAAATAAATAAAATAATTTCATTGTGTGATCAAAATACTAAAGATGTTCAACGCACAAGTATGTTTGTGTGCTGTAACATTTTATTCATTTGGGAATAAATCCCCCCCTCCCAAAAAAAGAAAAAAAGGCAAGCGAATGTTAAAATGTGGTGTGATTTCCCTGTCACATATATATTTATATATTTCATTTATATGCCGAACATTTTTATTATTTTGAGACCAGATTGAGGATTAAGTAAATGATTCGGTTTTGAAGTCTCAGCTTTATCTCCGCAGTTGGCGGATGATATTGAAATTGTTCAAACTGCAAGTGCAGCATATTTTCAATAATTTAAATGTTTATTATTCAAAAATTAGTCTGGTTATTTATATTATTTATGGCAAAAGTACTTGAGTTGTTGAGTGGGTAATAGCATGCAGCTCATGGGGGAAAATTGATTTTGGACCAAACGCGGGAGATTTCACTTCAGTAAACCCTATATTCATTTATGCACTACTAACTAGAAGAATTGCATCACAAATTTGAAGCTGTCATGTGCTAAATGCTTTCTTCATTTTGGTTCATTCTTTCAGGATACTCAATCCATCAATAAAGCTCCTCTTGATGTGAATAAGCTACCAATTGAAACTCAAAATCTGCTAGCTGTCTGCAAGAGGGAGAGCATGGCTGAGTATCCATCACCCGAAAGGGATAATTCTAAGTCTATGGATGATTATCCATCACCACAAACAGACAATCCGAAGCCATTCTCGCTAATATACAAAAGAAGGCGGCATAATTTAAACTCTAGCAATTCAAATGTTCCCGAGGATTCAGCCCGTAATGGCCAGGATCCATGCTCATCGATAATAACAACTGCTGCAACAACACTCCCAGCCACAACCACCACTACAACTACCAGCACTTCCTCAAGAAAACATTTCTTGTCTGCATTGGTGGAGTTTTCCCTACTTGAATCTCTTGAACCTAAGGAAAGTCCTTCGACTCGGGTGCCGGAATTTGACCCCTCTACACTTGACTCCCCTCTGCCCCCCAGCTGCTTGAAATTCATCCAACAGTTGCAGGAGGAGGTTCGTAAACTCTCAGTGGAAAGGGAGACAATGAAGTTTGAGATGATGAGTGCGCAGGCCATGATAAACATTCTGCAATCACGTATTGACTTGCTGACCAAAGAGAACAAGGAGTTGAAGGGAGGCACTGAGAATGCTTAGGAGCTCGTTTTGTACATGTGCAATCTTGCTCTTGCTAGTGTACCAATTTCAGCGCCGCGATGGTGCTTCGTTTTCCGGATCATGTATTATTTTTCAAGAGCTAGTGTTACAGGGGAGGTTGATAATCTCTTGGTAAGAAAGGGACTCTGTAAATAGGCTAGTATTTTGGGGTAATATGTGAGAAATGGATTCAATATAGTTCTACAATCTAATTGCTGATGTGCCAAATGGAAGTGAGCCAATCTGCACCATTTGATATCATTTGATATGTGTATCAGATCCATTTCTGATAAACATTGTAGTGTAGGTTGGCTCTAATTCCGTTTGGCACATCAGCATTTAGACTCCAGAACTACATTAGATTCATTTCTCACATATTGCACCAAAATAGTTCCTTATTTGTAGAGTTCCTTTTTCATTATCAGATTACTAACTTCTAAACCTTCCCTGTTGCAAGTAGGTTCTATTGTAGTTTTGAACTTGGACTAGATCTCTCAAGAGTATTGAACTTGTAATTTAAATCGTGTAATGTCTATGGCTTTTAGTTGCCCATCTATATATTCTATAAACCTTGTAGCTATTCTGTGATTGGTCCACATGGCAGTCTTTAGTGATAGTTTCTTTTGCATCTCATTGGTTGTTGGGTGTTGATGCGTGAGCCGCTATTTTCATTCTTGGTGCATGCATCTGCATTGATAATTTTATCTTTATTTATTTTTTGTCTTTTTGCTTCCCTGTGTTTTGAGAGGGAGGGGTCTTTTTTTGGGTGGTCCTATAAATATAGGGTTGTTAGGGAGTATTTGTGCAGTGTTGCCATTGTTATCACCTTACTGCTCGAGCCCATCTCTTCCATTGTTCCTCTGCCTGGTCCTTCGTCTCTTGCTACCATCATGGTGTTCTTCATATCCAAGACTTGACAGGCCTTTTTCTGTACCACCATCTTTGACCAACTTTTTCAACCGTGTTTTAGAATAATATTTGTCTTTGCTGCTTTTGACATCATTCTTTGTGTAGGTATGATCGTTTTCAGATTACTACCTTTGATTTTGCTTCTTTACTGGTTGTTTCGGTCTTCGTTGGGATCATAGGAGGTTTGTTTCAGTCTCCAATAATTTTTATCAGGCCTCTACCAACAGTCAAGACTCATGAAAGCGGTTTACGGCCTCGTTGGGCATGAAACTTGATGGCTGGACTAGAAAGGTTGAAGAACAACACTATTCATCAATATTTTTGGAATTCATGTTTTCATCCTAAAAATGAAATTGTAATCAGTGTTTTCATTAGAGCTCCTCTCTCTCTCTCTCTCTCTCTCTCTTTCCGGTCTTTGGGAAGCTCTTATATGCAATTAATATTCTCTAATTCAAATTATTGGAGTATTTGCATTTTTGGTTGGAGTTTCTTCTCAGAGTTTTTTTTTGTTTTACCTTTTCTTTTCATAATAAATTTGTAATTATTGTGATTTTTTATTTTTCAGTGCTGATTCTGAAATTATTTTCAGAGAATAAAAAAGAAAAATTATACCATAACATTGATGATGATTGGAATTCTGAATAGTTTCATGGCTAATTCAACAAAGCAGTAGTTGTAGAAGCAAAGCCAAGATGATAAATTAATGAATAATGAATAATATGCAAGTACTAAAACTAAACGCAAAGGATTAAAAAAATATGTGGTTTGGCCAAATCATTAAAACCTCTTGGAGAAATGAGTTGCTGGAGATGAGGCAGTATTTAAGATTTTTATCATTTCCCTACTTTTTTGAGTTTCAATATTTGAGTTTTATGGAAATGTCCCCCCCCCAAAAAAAAACTCTAGTTATTACATTTTACTAATATATATGAATTTAACTTATTAAAACATTTTTGCCATATAGTGGAGACTAAGCCTCTTTTATTAGATGTAACTCCAATTGGTTTCTGTAAAATCTCTTTATTTACATATTAACCATCTCTTTATTTGAATTTTTAATGTAAAATAAATGCATAGATAAAATGATTAAGATTGTTGAGAATTTTTAGATTATCTACATTGAATTTTCTAAATTAAAATAAAGAGATTGTTGATCTTTTCATGTAAAGTATGAATCCAATATAAATGTAAAAAGAAGATAAGTTTAGACTTCAGATAACATTCTTAAATTTAAATTTTAATTCTAAATGAAGAAATTGTTGAGATTTATAATATAAAGAGATTGTTTATATATAAATGTTATAATTTGCTTCCCCCTCTTCTTTTTTTTAGATCAGATTTTTTTTTAACAGATTTTGTTATATCTGCAATTCTTTTAATAAATTTTATTTATTAGTTAGAGATGTTGGACAGTTGAAGAACCACTTTTTAGCCAAGAGACCTTGAAGGGCACATTTAAATTCTAAATTAAGATGTAATTATTAAATTGTAATATTTATACATAATTTTCATTTAAATCTCAACAGTCTTCTCTTCATTTAAAATTAAAAATGCAAATTTAAGAGATTAATTAATGCTCGAGTTGAAAGTTGGATTTTCAAGTGAGAAGACTGAAGGCCTCACAAAGCAATGATTAGAGTAATACACTCACCAATGAGTCTAGGGATGCCAAATGCCTTGGTATGAATAAGTGTAATGTACTGTTGAGTTTTGACAGCACGTCATGTATAAGTCACACCAAGCCACCCAATAGATATAAGAAAACATGATGACATGGATATTATCCAGACCAGTAGAACGCAAAATTCAATGTAATGTAAATAATCTAAAAAATCTTATCAATTTTCTCTGTGCATACTTTTTAAAAAAAAATAGAAATAGATGTTCTCTAATTTTATTGCATATTTGTTAAGGAAAAAAATCTGCCACCACAAATCAAGGCATAAAGTTTGTATGTGAATCGAAAATAATATGATACAAATTATTACTTTGTGTTTTCTAATTTCTTAATTATATAAATATATCACATAATTAGACATAAGTTGTAACAGAATGGTTATTAAATGAAGATGAAATAGCCAATTAGACATCTTGGGTATAGACACACACACATATATAAAAGGTTCGGTGGCACATGCATGGGTTTATGTATAGCCGTATAGGTGAATGTTTTCAAAACTTAAAGGTCTTTTTAGGGGGGAAAAAGCCTGCTTTGAAAATGAAGAGATCTTGAATTACTTGTGGAATAATTTAAAGAACCATATAATTACTTGCCTTTTTTTAATATTTTTAAAAATGAAAAGACCTTGAATTACTTTCTAGAATGATAAAAATAAAAAGGCTTTAAATCACCTTGTGGAATACGATATAACAAAAATTGAAGATATTTTAAATAAATAAAGAATTACGAACAAAATATAAAGCGGAAATGCAAAAGTATTCTAGATGTCAAATCTAAGAAAATAGAAGTTCATCATTCTTCTTAGCAGGACACAGGGCATTAAAAAAAAAAAAATACATAAAGGTATGGGATAACAGGGCTAAAATCGATTTTTTTTTAATTATATTCCAGCATATTGAAAGTATAATTTTTTTCTTAAAAAAATAATTGATATATGAGGCTATGCATCTCTTTATAATCTCAACATAATTGCCCCATTTTTTCCCATCTCAAATTTTATTTTAATAATATCATTTATAATATAAGTGTATCAAATTTTTTATAACATATGTATATCAAATTCATACTAATGAATATTTATTAATTAACATTAAATTTATACTAAAAAAATAAATGTTTTGGTTTTTCAAAGTTACACCTCGTATGTTGCATAATAGTTTAACATCTATTTATACATTCAAGCAACTAACTAATATGAAACGAGATTTTACCATCGTGATGCTTTTTATTAGGAGTTTTTTTTTAAAAAAATAAACTAAAGCGGGATTCAAAATTAGTTCGCTCAGTTTATAAGTTTTTTTTAGCACTACAACAATGGCAAATGAAAGAATCAATTAATGTTCCCCAAACAGAGAGTATATTTGCAAAAGATAATAGGGACTTCAACTGAAATATATCATCTTTCATATTAACAAATATTTCTTTATGTCACAGGATTTTTTTCCTGAAGTTATGCGTTCAGCTTTCTTATTATAATAAAGGAAAATATATTTGCAATATACTTTAATTTATGAGTTTGTATGATTTATTCTGATCAATAAATGATAACAAAATATTTTTTAAAATACATTGTAATAAACAAATATTTTTTTTACAAGCTAAACGCATGAATGAATGTTTTTTGGGGTGAAATTTTTTTGAAAATGCCCCCGGGGGCACTTTTTTTCTTAAAATTGATATGAAACTCAAGTCTTCAGTCTCTGTGTTTGAAGAACTTGTTGTATCTAACTTCTTCTTCTTTTTTTAATTATTAAAGGGAGTTCTAAATCAATGTTTTATTTTGTAAATTCATAAAATAATATTTTTCATCCCAATACCATTTTTTATACAATATGGACATTAAAGTATTTCAGTATTAACATGACAATGCCCATCTTATTGTTATTCTCCATTGACAAGTCTACCCATGCACAGGTTATAGTGTTTAGATAACGTTTAAATTATAAAATTAATTTTTTAAATTCCTAATAATTTAATTAATAATTCTTAATTGCTGAAATGTAATATGAAAATATCTATTTTATATTGATATATAATATAAAATAAAGCCAGGGAATCTCGATTCTCATATCTTTTTTTTATGATAAATTAGTTAATATAGAAAATCCACACTAAAAGTTACTCCCTCCGTTCCTTATTATAAGAGACACTTGATGCTTATGTCATGTTCCTATATATAAGAGACACTTACAAGTTGTCTCTACTTTTTTGTGTTGATTTACTATTTTACCAATATTTATTATCTCCAACTCACACTCTCTCTCCCTCCCACTTCTCTTTCTTTTAATAATTTAATTGTTCTCTCTCATGCTCTCTCTCCTTATTAATGAGGGCATTTTTGGAAAAAAATTATACTTTTTATATATTAATTGTTCTTAACTAACTTTAACTGTTTTTTTGATCAACGTACTTCAGTTATTTGTCTCTTATAATAAGGAACGGAGGGAGTATATAAGAAGGTCCCGATTTTTGAACAGATTTTATTTCCCTGCTGGCGACTAACAACCGGAGCTTCAATGACCAGTCACCGGATGACTACTCTTTCTTTTGTATTAACTACTCTTTTTTAGCTATTGACTACATTTATTTTAAATTCTGTGACATGTTACCGAAACTCCGGTGACCGGTCACCTGAGTTCCTGTAACTTTCTTTTCTTATGTATTGACTACTTTTTTTAGCTATTGACTACATTTACTTTTAAACTCTGATGACTACTCTTGTTAAGTGACTGACTACTCTAGTAATGCGATTTATTACTCTTGTGTAGTCAATAGCTATCTAAACATAGTCACCGGAGCTTTGAAAACAAAAGTAGTCAATAGCTAAAATAGAGTAGTCAATAGCTAAAATAGAGTAGTAAATAGCTATATAGAAGTAGTTACTGACAGTAAGGACAATATTGTTATTTTACAAGATTTAAAAATTCCAAAATGGTACTTAGGGCCTGAATTGAGATCTTGAAATTCACCTATCCTAATTTGTCATTTAG